TTAATAAGCTTTGAACCATATTGAGGATCGTGCAATTTTTTCTTTCGCACACACAGCTTTGCTAAGGTGTATAAGCTGCAATCAACTAAATTTATTTATCTAGAACAAACAAGACATTGGAAATAGAATGAGAATTCCCTTTAGTTTGGAATATGACCATTCCTTTTCCCAAAATAGATACTGTAGAGTTAACACCAAACTATACAGTATTTCGAAAAGATTCATCCAAATCAAAAAACACTGATTTGTCTCCACACATATGGTTGCTACAGCTAGTATCCAAATACCATACATTCCTATAAGTTTCCTTATTAGTTTGACACACCATAAGGATTGGAATTTCTTCTTCTTCTTCCTTTTTTGCAAAATAAGATTTTGCACTGTAATTTATCTTCAAATTTGTTCGACACTCGGAGCTATAATGACCATACTTGTGACAACAATAACATTTAACCTTATATTTGTCTGCTAACTATGATTTATGTCCTGTAGAATTTTGACCATCATGTCCCCTCCCGTTTCCTTGAGAGTGATCAACACTTTTACTCTCTCTTGGTTTCTAATGAGCATTCTTGCCTTTTCTTTCTCCCTTTCCACATTCAACACCTCTTGGGTTTTAGGATGCCTTTAATACTTGCTCTTCTTTGTCTTGTTGTGTTAGTTTCTGCTCATGAACAAGCAGGGAATTTTGCAACTCATCTATTGAAAGAGTATCAATGTCTTTAGACTCTTCAATAGAACAAATCACAAAATTAAACTTTGTAGTCATTGAAAAAAGGATCTTTTCAACAACAGTGACATCCTCAAGCTTATCCCTATAAAGTCGCATCTTGTTTGTGATTGCCATCATCTTTGAAAAATACTTTGAAACTGACTCTCCCGATTGCATTTTAAGAACTTCAAACTCCCCACGAAGAGCTTGAAGCTGCACATGTTTCGCCCTTGTATTCCCTTGATACTTTTTCTTCATGGAATCCCAGATCAACTTGGAGGAGTCCTTGCAAAGAATTATTTCCAAGATTGAATGATCAATCGCTTGGAAGAGATAATTATGTGCCTTAAAATCCTTCAGCTTTAGTGCTTCCAATTCTAACTTTTGGGTCTCTGTCAACGTAGCACTAGCTGCTGGTTCTGCTACCTCAGAATCAACCACCTGCCAGTGTTCTTTAGACCACAAGAAGTTCTCCATTAGCATGCTCCAATGATCATAATGACCATCAAAGCGAGGAATGACTGGTTGCACAAAATTTTCAAAAGTCATCATTCTCCTCTACTGCTGCAAGGAAAGAAAACAGGTGAAATAAAAATAAAGTTGCTGCTATCCTACTCTCTATCTCACTTTTTCCACTCGGTAGCTCTGATACCATTATTACAATCTAAAGGACTAAAACTGATGGACAAAAGAAAAAGTATAAGATTTGGAGGTTAATACATATCTTATTTCAATAGATAATAGTCTATATAAATAGGCCTTAACATTAACAGAAAACACCAAAAAAAAAAAGAAACTAAACTGGACCACTAACTCTGCAAACTAGGCTAACACTAATCAATACTGGAATAATAAAAACAGACTCAACAAACTCCTAAAAATAAGGACTACTCAACAAACTCCTGAGGGACTAAGTCAGCAATTTGACTAAGTCATCCAACAAATATTTACTCTTGTGCAACCCACCTCAGCCAAAATACCCCTCCTCTCCTCTCCGCTACACACACTTGAACTTGGTGTTGAGATAAAGAAGAGAGAGAAATTAACTAAAATCTCAGTGTAATGAGATATGTCTATTTATCTATGACTTGAAATGGGAGCATATTGAGGGGACAGTTTTAGAGAGAAAGAGAGTGATTTACATACTTCTACATCTACACGGCTCCCGCACGCTGCCCTAACAAAATCTTTGATGCCAAGTTTTTGGTCTTTGATGTCATTATTTTGTCGGTCTAAGTGCTAGTTTGTTTCTATGATATACTTTAAGAGGTACGTGCCGTAAATAGACAGCACTACTCCAAAATCCTAATTAGATGTTATATTTGGACACAACAATATGTTTCATGGGTTGTTGAAATATCTCAATGTCGGAGCAGATGTGATGTTGAACCACTTCTTAGTGATCGTAATTTGAAAATTTGTCTTAATTTGAGGATCTTCACTGTGACAAGTTATTGATCTTCTTTCATCCCAGGTAGAGGTGGTGGTAGTTAATGTAGAATATTTCTGATTTTTACCTTCAAACCTAGAGGAAAAAAAAACAAAAGAGTATTCGGTATTCAATTTGCTGAGAGTCCAGATTCTATGATCCGATTCCAAAATGGAAAAACATGCCTTGTGTAATTGTGGGTAAGATTGAATAATGAATGGAGAGTGGAGGAGGCTGCTGAATGTGTCCATATCCATACTAATTTGAAAGAAGATAAAACTTAGTGGATTTTGTGGCACCTGGAATCGTATAGACTTGGCCATGTATTTTGTTGAAAAATGTTGTTGCCCCTCAAGCTCATGGTTGTTGACTCATGGTACTACTATGTTGGAACATACAGGCGTACATGGTCTGACAAGGTACGTAAGTTGATTTGTGATCAGCTACTAGGTCAAGATTTTTCTAGAAATGCAAACGTGGTTGTTCGATACAATTAACACATGTATCCAAGTGTCTTGGTTGGAAGCCTTTATATTCCTTGTGTTAAGTTTGTCTGCCCTACTATTCATATGGTCTAAAATTTGCCTATTTCAACTCATCTGAAGTCTTGTGTTCAGTGAGATTTTAGGTCCTTGCATGGGAAATCAAATTTAGCATTCATGTTCATTTTCGATATTGTTTCTTCTTGTCTTTTCTGGTGGTAGTTTAATTAGAGACCTAATTCAATGTAATTATAATTGTGGATTTTAATATTAGATAGAGTTTACTTTCAATTCAACCTAGTCGATTAGGTCTTCAACGACTATTGACTACAATCTGATTTAATATCCTTGCACCCAACACACTATGGTCTATATGAATAAATATTAGGTGTAATGATGATATCACGTCATTATTGTCACGTGATGGTATCATATAATAATAAATCTATAAGTGAAAGTGAGTAAATATTGGGTGTAACGGTGACGTAAATTATTGACACATAGTGTCAACATCCAATAATAAACCTAAAAATGAGTAAAGTGAATTCCACTTGAGTGGTTATTAAATGACATAGTAGGGTGGTTATTATAATATGTGGAATCCACCTGCTTATCTGTTATGTTTTTATTGGATATTGACAGCAAGTGTTAATAATAATGTGGTGTTATCGTTACATCTAATATTTTTTCCAAGGAGTGGACAAGGTGAACTACACTTATAGTTCTTTCCATTTGGTGATTACCAAATGATATGAAGGGGTGATTATTATAATATATGGGATCCTCTTACTTACTTATTATATTCTTATTAAAATAATAACACTATATGACAGTGTTACCGTTAGAACCAATATTTTCTCGATCTATAGATGTGAAAAACCAGAACAAAGTCCAGTGTAGAGCCCAGCATATGTGTTTAAACTCAAAGCACCTAATACAGGCCCTAAGCCCATACTGGCCCATTAAAAATCATTGGCCGGCATTGTTGTAGGACAAAGATCTCGTTTAAAACGGAGAAATTCAGGTCCATTTAAGCAGCGGAGTTTTCTATCCTAAGCATTTTTCTCTTCCCTCTTCCTTTAAACAAGAAGGTATCTAAGCAATGATCTAATGCAAAGAGTCAACACAGCGGAGTTCTCTTTCTTTCTTTTTTTTTTTGGGAGATTCTGAAATCATTTTGCAGCAACAGCTGGCAGCTTACGCGTAGTAGAGCTGATTATGCATTCATGCACTGTTGTTGAAGAAGGTATTAAAATAATAATTTTTTGTTTTTTTCTTTCTTTTCCCTGTCGTGCACTTTCATGGTTCAACTCTCATGGCTTATATGCTAGGCTTGCTGCTGGGCAACTTTTAAGATATTCAGCCATTTTTCAAACTGTGCTGTGCACGAACCATTTGTCTTTATGTTTTAGAATCCGGAAAAATAAAAAATAAAAACAGATAAACTTAAAACATCAAAGTCCGCAAGGTTTAAAAGAAAAAAAAAATAAAAGAAACCAAGAAAAAACACATCTAATTGTTTTTCAATTTTTGGACAGTGAAATGTTTCTTTTAGCCTGTCACTTACGAGTTGTTTCTTTAATCGACAAATTAATTTATTTCATGGATTGTTTCTAAACTTTCAATAAAGCAAGGATGATGAATGGATTAATGTATAACCAAATTACGAAATGGACCCACTAGTTCCCCATTTCGACATCTGTCACTCAGAACTTTTGTTTGATAAGGTCCCCATTTAATAAGCAAGCTGCAAACTGTCTTCGTTATATATGTATGGTAATGGTAATGGTATGGGTATGGGCAGTGTCTTTATACACCAAAATTCGCAACAACAATAAGATCTGGAACAAAAATGATGTCTCATGACAAAGTGCGGCACGTCACAATTTAAAACTATATATTACATCCATTTCACATAATACCCCAATGGTCCTCACCATCCCATTCACCCCCCCCCCCCCCCCCCCCCCCAAATCATAGAGTTGTTGACCTGCATATTTATATTTTTGTTTTGTTTTCCAAATCGAGTTTCTTTTGGCTTATTTCTAATACCCCAATGATGTTATTGTTGGCAGGAATGAGCTATTATTGTTGACAAGAATGTGTTATGAATTTAGACGTTCGAACTTATAATTTTGATTATTTTTTGTGATTAGGTCATAAAAAAATTATTTTTCATCAATACTCTATTCCTGACGTGGATGACCTATTTTTTATTAGATCGAAAAAGAGATTAATGAAAAATTTATCATTTATTAATACCTTATTTCTGACGTAAATAACCTATTTTTGATTAAACTGAAAAAAAGATTAATTGATATGTCTGGTGACGTACTTGATAAACATAACATCAATCTACACTTATAAAATTATTATTTTTTTGTAGTCATATATTCTGATAAAAAAAATTGTACAAATTAATCAGATCAAAGGTAAAAATAAGATATATCCTTAGAGAGTGAGAGAGAGTAACAAAACAATATGAGCATTGTCTCGCACATTTGAATTTTTTTTGTAAAATACAATTTACTCTCAGATGTAACAAATTAAATTTGAAATTATTAGATTTTTGGAAAAAAAAAAAATTCATTCAATCATTTATTACATGTTATAATGCATGAAAAATAAAAAATTTAATAATTAGTGAACTCGACCCCTGATAATACCTTGAATAAACTATTATTTAAGCACATTGACAAATCCATTTTGATAAATAAGTTTTCATTTACCAAGTGAACAACTCCCTCGTGGTATCTCTTTGGTGTTCAGAGAGATAAACAAGTGGATCCCACGCCACCACTGTCGTGGTCAATAGGCTGCCACGTCTGCGTTGACACCTAATCCTTCAATCAATCAATCGAAGTCCGAATACTATCTCTCTTCTTTTCTTCAAAGCTTAGATCAAAATCAGATTGGTCCAAGTCAACCCGCTACCAGAATCGGATTTTGCGGTGAACCAGAGGAAGGGTTGGCCACGTTGACCAATGGGAGTAGGCCTCGTGTCGTGGGCTCTCTTTGGGAGCTCCAACTCGGAGATATGACGTGCTTCAATTGGATTCCAACGGCTTTTACAAAATGCTTAACATGTGCGCACGTGTAGCATGCAGAGGTCGGTGGTACGGAATGGTTTGAACTACTTAAGGTGACGACGGGGCACCCGGGTGGCACTTGTGATTACTGGTGGACGGCAGTGGCGCTTCCTCCAAAGTGGTGGGGGAATTAAATAGTTGTGGGGGAGGCCTGGGTATGAGATAGCTGTGGGATGCATATGCCACTCTCCTCTAATTTTTGGATGAGTAACGTTATTGAACACAAAAATTTAATTTAATTCATTGATTTAATAGCAATGAGTAAATATAGTTGAATATTAAAATTCCAATATTATTATTTTTGAACCAATTAGTTAGTACGTTACTTGGCTTTAAATATTGGAGAGTATGGAGTTCAACTCATACGAGTATTCCAATAATGTGGAGTTGAATTTGAACGAACTGTAGACTCGGACGTCAAATGTTTGTTCATCGCTATTGTTTATTGTGATTAATTAATATTTATAATTTGTAGGTAATTATAAACATATCCCCACAAAAAAAAAAGATTGTAAACATATGAGGTTTACTTTTGTAAGAATGAATCCAAAGTAACTAATGTTTATTGTTATTGTTGGATTACTAGCAAAATTAAATATTAATGAGATCTAATATCAATTTTACGCTTAGATATATCTCTCTAAGGATGTGAGGGACTGACCCAGTAATAAAAAGTCACTACCGCTCGTAAGTGATTACAAGTTCCAGCCTAATGTCCTCCCTCCTCTAAAAAAAAAAGTACAAAATTCAAACAAACAACTTAAGAGTTGTAATGAACCACATTAGAGTGTATTGAATTTCACATCGAAAGTTTATACAAAATAACTTACCTTAAATGATAACTTCTTAGCTAGATTTTTAGTTGAGTTCATAACTTCATATGATTATTACTAATGATGCAGAAAATAGGTTTATGCACAATCAACAATTGAGTATATGATTTGGGATAATTAATGAAGCAATCAATAAAACAATTAATGAATGAGAGAAATATTAGATTAGGATAAGCAATACATAGATGTATAGTATTGATGAAGTAGTAGGGGGGTGTGTGTATGAGAGAGAGAGAGAGAGAGAGAGATCAAGGGTATGTTCTTGATAGTTATAAGAGAAATAGCTCTATAGGTGTGCAGAGAGATGTAGAAGTGTGTCCTTCTCATGAAGAGAGTTTTCAATTGGCACAGAACTTTGGTTGAAGTGGTGGCATGACATGACAGGAGATTAATCATTCAGAAATGATAGTTATAGCTAAAGATATGTACAATTAGAGATGATATTGATCTTGGAGAGTGACTATTCCGGTAATTATTCCTCATGTGCGCTAATTTTCTTGAACTTTGGACTAAATTAGATCCATGAGTTGGACTTAACCTACTTTATATCTGATTTAGACTTGCTCGTCTGGATCTAGTTGGATTTGGGTTCATCAATTAGAACAGTATTGTTAGAATTATATTGGTTCCATCTGGAAGTCGACATGAAATTTGTGAATATCGAATCGACTATTTTTTGAAATGAACATAAGTAATAAATTTTTAAATACTAAATGAATAGGGGTAGTGTCAAACACATATAACATGAGATTGAGAACTAACTTGTTTAACAAGCAAAAATAATATGTCATATTTTTGTTATTTTTTATTAAGAATTAAGGTGGATCCATGTAAAAGAAGAGAATTTTTTTTTACTTGTTTTTACTATTATATTTATTTCGTTAGTCATCAGTTTATTGAAAATTGGCATGACATTAATTGAGAGGTAATATAATCTTAGTTTTAGATTTTTAATCCAGAGTTTATACAGATATGCCAGAATACAATACAATAATAAATGTTTCAATTCCAACCACCAATTTCTCACCATCGCCTCATCTTTCGAGGTTTTTTTTTTTTGATATAAATCAACAAATTACTATTACAATGAAACATCAAGTATTACAATTCTCAAATAATTATCTACAGTTGAGTAAAAAGGAAGCAATGAAACTCAATAAGAAGACACAATAGAACATTCAAAGATGAGGATATAAGTTATCAAGTCTTACATTTTATAAAGATCGGCTTCTTCGTCTCTTGGTTGCAGAATCTTAATTTCTTGTTTGTTTGTAGGTGTTTTGAATAATAATGTAATTTCGTTTGTTTTGACTTTTTAATTGCTAAAATTCTTTCATTTTGATAAGCAAGCAACCTAAGACACATTAAGGAAAGAAGGTCTTTGGTGCCACACTGCTATTTATGAACTTTGACCTTGTCCCCCTTCAATGATTGTACCAAATTCTATGCACCATATCAGGATAGTTAGTTGGATTAATAGATTTTGTTGACTTCATTAAATATTCAATATTTATGATTTTGTCATATCATTTGATGTAATAAATTCAACATTATTTCTTGATGAAAATATCTCCTTCGATAGTGTATTCATCCTGTTCATTGGAGTCCATGTCCTCCCAATAAAAGTTATGAGAAACGTGTCAGTTGAAAAATAACTGTAGGGATTGAGGTAGGAGTAAGGTTAAGGTATAGGAGGGGGTTACCCTATGCAAAGGGCCAAATTTCAGTGACTTGTGAGGTGTTCCAATATGCTTAGTGACCTCTGTCTCCGACGCCCAACCCACCCATCCCTTCCTCTATATAAGCCCATCCCCACCCCGACCCCTCATCATTCATCTTCACCATCTTCACCTCATCATTCTGCCACTTCTCAAAGCTTGTCTCTGGCACTTCACCATGCAACCTCTTTTCTCCCAGACCTATTCCTTTTTTTTTATCCTCTCACAGACCTATTCAGTTCCTTATTGTTTCCTACTTCTTCTACTAACTGTTCTGTCCTCGTCTGTGTTACTTGTTTTGTTCCTCAAATGGGGTCATATCAAAGAGAAACGTCTACCACCAGGTTCAATGGGTTGGCCTTACATCGGAGAGACGCTCAAGCTCTACACTGAAAACCCAAACTCTTTCTTTTCCAACAGGCAAAAACGGTACGAAAACAGCAAGTACACAATGCCCTCTTTGTGTAAAACAAAGGTCACTCTTTATAAGACCTGTACATTAAAGTAAGGGAATCACTTATGGGTACGGTTTTACTCCACCCGTAAATAAATACGGGTTCAAACCCCATCGGCTCATCCCTTCTCCTTTTATTTTTTCTTTATAATAACTTATATAGAAGAAGGGAAGGATGAAATTTGAACTCACGGCTTTAAAAGTTGTTCAATTGTAGCACGGGGTCATTAAACCAACCACTAATCTCAGTCCTCTCCTCTTCTCTTCCCACAAAACAATGCTAAAAAAATATTAGATGTTTAGATCCTGTATTAAATTCTGGAAGTTTGATCTATGGTAGGTATGGAGATATATTTAAGACCCACATACTGGGATGCCCTTGTGTGATGACTTCAAGCCCAAAAGCAGCGAGAATTGTTCTAGTGAGTGAAGCTCATCTCTTCAAGCCAACATATCCACCAAGTAAAGAGAAGATGATAGGACCAGAGGCTCTGTTCTTTCACCAAGGTGCTTACCATTCAAGGCTCAAGAAGTTGGTTCAGGCCTCTTTTCTTCCCTCGGCTCTCACAGGATTGGTACCCGAAATCGAGAAAATTGTTCTCAAATTTCTTCCTACATGGGAGAATTGCTCCATTAACACCTTGGAAGAGATGAAGAGGGTATGTTAGATCATGTGTTTTTGAACTTCATTTCATGACTTTAAGTCAAAAATTATATGAAAAATTCTTTGCATTTTGTTCCTCTCAGTATGCTTTTGATGTGGCAATGATTTCGGCCTTTGGCCAAAATGGGGAACTAGAGATTGAAGAAGTCAAATATTTGTATCAATGCTTGGAAAAGGGCTACAATTGCATGCCTTTAGATCTTCCAGGAACTTCCTACCACAAAGCCATGAAGGTAAAGCAGTGCAAGTCTCTACAAGGGTCAAACGACATCATTTTTAGTGAGGGTGAAAATGTTTGCACAAGTGTAGCACGATTTCGATATAAAATTAGCGAATTTGAATTGACCAATTCTCGACACGAACATGAAAATGACATTACTTGTTAACACAAATAATAAAGGAGTTGGGTTTGTGTCAAAAAAAAATAATCTGAATTTGACATCATTAACACTGTCTTATATAAATAAAACATTTAATTTTTGTCATTTCTTATTGGATTTTTCACTAGTTTTGGCTCCAGTGTGGATTTCGGGGATTTTTACTAATTGATAAATGGGATTTTAATTTTGGGTTTTTGATTCACATATTATACGGGTTAAACCGAACAAGCATTAGATTAATGTCATAACATCTGATACAATTGATTAATTGAGTTATATTAGAGTTAACTAGCACATGGTACGAATCTGAAATTATATAATTAAAACACATCACAATTTAATGTTCACCCTTAATTTTGGCGGTATGCTTAGGTACTTTAGTCTCCAAATTGCTCTTCATTTGGGGTTTTTTTTTTTGTGTACATGGTTTTTCATCCTTTTTTTTTATATTATTATTTATATTGATTTAAATAGGCAAGGAAGCTTCTGAACGGAACCTTGAGAAATTTAATTCGAAAGAGAAGAGAAAGTAGGAAACATGGTGGAGGATTACTGGGAATCTTGTTGGGAGCTACAGACCAGAAGCTAAATCATCTTAGTGATTCTCAAATTGCTGATAATATCATTGGAGTTATATTTGCTGCACACGATACCACCGGAAGTGTCCTCACATGGCTGGTTAAGTATTTACATGACAACGATGATGTCTTAGAAGCTGTTACGGTAATATCTTTATTTTTGTCTCGTATCTTTTGTTTTTATTTAACGTATTCTTACTGGATATCTTATTTAGTAGGTGTGGTGTGTTTGCCTTTTATTGCTAGAAATATTTAAAAACAAATATTATTTAGACCTAATTTAGAGATCTAATCAATTGTAAGTTGTAACTCTTAGATTGAAATTCACGAATAATCTAATAATTGAAATGAATTAGATTTTCAAATTAGGTTCTTGTAACATCATATTTCTTAGTGTTTTATGTTCACTAAATTGAGAAGAGGCTGATAGTTATTGGTGTGGGGTAGGCTTGGGGCGGGCCATAAGCTTGGATGTCTTAACTTCTATTCTCGACGGTGTCTCTCAGTTTTACTCTATTTGAATTTAAAAATTTGATCTAATTTATTGACATAATGATATGACTTTATAGGAATCATTGGATCAACACTAAATTTCAACATTTGTCTAAAAGTCAAAATGAATTAGTTCAGCAAATTATGTCAATAAATTAGATCTCAATAACATTAAAGTTACTTTATACCTATAATTTGTGGGTAGTTAGAGGTATTCGCAATTTATCCTCTAAGGGTAAGTCAAAGTAATCCTAATTTAGAAGAGGGTTCCTCCTAACAAAAAAGGAAAAAAATAATAAATAGATTTAAAAACTTGATTTGATGAATGATTATAATCGAATAAGTAGTGGGTTTCAATAAATATTAAAACTTACAATTAAGTTAATGTCAAATATATCATTCACATCATCAAGTTATGTTTTTAAGTTAATTTTTTAAGTCTGTACAACATTACTTCCAAAAAAAATAAAAAAAAAACTTCGAAACGGTTTTCAGCTGCTATTTTTAAAAGTTTTCCTGGTTCAAATATTTTTGTTTATTTGTTTTGCATTGGTATCCTCTGATCTCCAATATCTTAGAACCTAATTTCAATATTGGCAATGAATTGTTGCAGAAGGAACAAGAAGAAATTCGTCGCAGAATACATGGAACCAATGGTGGGCTTACATGGGATGATACTCGACGTATGCCGTTGACTAGCCGGGTATATTATCATAAATAGTAATAATAATAATAATTCTTTAGTATATATGTCGTAAACAGAATAAGTCTACGGTACCCACATGAAAATACGAGTACTATATCTACTGCGTTAACACAAAAATTATTTTTCGGCACTGTAATTAGACTAATCCTCAAAATCTTTTTGAGATTGGAGGGTGAAGCAAGTGAATGTGTTTAGTTTTTTTTTTCAGGTGATACAAGAGACTTTAAGAACGGCAAGTATTCTCTCATTCACGTTCAGAGAAGCAGTGCAAGACGTGGAATTTGAAGGGTACTTCATCCCTAAAGGTTGGAAGGTTCTTCCTCTATTCAGAAGCATTCATCACTGTGCTGACTTCTTCCCACACCCAGAAAAGTTCGACCCTTCCAGATTCGAGGTAAGGACTAGTTCACGATTCGGTACATGTATCTTTTGTTACTCTTTGGTTTGTTTGCGATTTACTGTCAATAAAATAGGATTGGACAAAAAGTTACATGTTACAACCCACAAACATTTTATGTTATTCTAAATGTGAAATTTCACAATAAGGTTGAGAATGATCTTAGATAGGTTTGGTTTCACAATTATTAAAAAATAATTTTACTATGGAACTCTACGATTGTACGCATTGGTAAGAAATTAGTGAGAATTCTAGCTCTTAAGATTAAACAATTACAAATAATATTAGGGATTTTAAAGAAAATTGTATTTTACTAAACATATAATTAAAACATACTATCAAAAAAAATTATTTTGTGTTTTTTTATTCAATTTTGTTTTAAAAAAGTACAAATTAATTTTACTATTTTGAGTAATTTTGTCTCGAATCTTGGTTTATTTTGTCATTCTTGTACTCAAATTTTGTTCGGTATCAACTAGTGAATTATTTTCAGTTATATATTGTGCCCATTCATTTAAATTCCTGACTCCGATGGAAGTGTCAAACTTAAACCAAAACATGGGTGGCCGGTGGTGAGAATTGCAACAATGATTCTTTGCTATTCTATCAACGATTCACCAACATTAATGAAGAAAATCCTAATATTCTTACCAGCCCATATGAGCAAGATTCATGGAGTGGGGTCTTCAACTCTATCCAGTTGTGAAAAAAATATGAGGTTGTCAATGTTTAGATTATTGGTGGTGGTACTGTCCTTTTCAATCTCTACATGAATCTTTCTCTAATTCTGGCGATCTGAACATCAGAACATGAAATCTTTCATGTATCAGGTCTCGTGAGCTGGTTTTGTAAGGTTTCTAAACTCTGCTGAATCCGTACGTTTATATCTTAATGGAGAAAATAACTTTTGAGTCATATAGGTGATAATCAAGAGATTCAATGAAGTGATGTGTGTGTGTGTGTTTTTTTTTTCTTTTTATGATTGTGTGATAATGCAGGTGCCACCGAGACCCAACACATACATGCCATTTGGGAATGGTGTGCATTCTTGTCCAGGCAGTGAGCTAGCTAAGCTTGAGATGCTCGTTCTCCTCCATCATCTCACCACATCCTTCAGGTTCTCTCTCTCTCTCTCACCATTATACATAATAATGTGTATTTGTCTTGGAGAATAGGATTCCCTGGTGGGAGTTCAAGTTTGCTCTATCGGAGGTGGTCCATAAAAATCTAATTGAACGGGAGTGACCCAAGTCATCTTGAAACATAATTGTTTGGACTGTTGCATCATGACTTTCATGTCACCCTGACCGGGACTTAACAAAGAGAAGCCTTAAGCTCACTCTAGCTTAACCTACTTTGGCAATTCTAAGCTACCGAATGATAAATAGTGAACTTGTTAGTCTCATTAAATGAATGAGTCGATACAAACCCAACTGCACATAACACAAACCTTGAAATGAGACGTGAACAAACACTAGAACTACCCGACTTAAATGCCACATTTACCTAACCCGTGACAACCCATTGCCTTCCGTAATTTGAGCCATATACATCTTTCTTGTGCGGTAAACATTGTTGAATAAACATTTGGTCATTAATTTCTGCTAGCAGTCGGAGTCTCCATCAGGAGTTAAAAAAAATCAAAAGTTTTTATATTGTCGATGACTCTCAACAAACCGGTAGTAGCTTTTGTAAACACCACACTGGAGACAGACTTAACATTAGAAATTACTTGCACAGAATAACTATTCTCGCGTTCGATTCACAACAAAACAAACTCGACAGTTTCAGCATTGCACTCAAAAATAGTAAGCATACAAAATCACACAAACTCATATATGAACAAGCATATTTTAGATTGATCAGCTTTTTTTTCTTATGTTCACCTCTCCGATGTGCGGCTGCAGGTGGAAAGTTATCAGCGACGAGGACAAAATACAGTACGGCCCATTCCCAGTGCCCAAACGAGGCTTGCCAATAACTGTACACCCAAGAAATAAGACATGATTGTCTCATCCACCCCAATTTTAAAACCACCAAGGTCATGTAATCAATCCCATTTCCAGTCGCTTTCGTTCAACCCAAAAAAAAAAAAAAAATCTTGGATTCACAAGATATCCTTGCAGCTAGGGTTTTGTATAGTTTGCCAAGGTGGTGATGACATGCCTGCGTCTGTATGCTACTTGTACGGTCATCAAGTACGGCTGTATTTTTGTGAGGCTTCTTGGTCTCTTTTGGAATGTACATATTGGCAGAGTAATAAATACAATTCAAAAAAAAAAAAAAAATCAAAAGCTCAAATTGTTTGTGGCAGCAAGTCCGGACTCTGTGTGTGTGTGTGTGTTTTGAGGATCAAATGTGTGTGGTTTTGAATGTGGATGAAGTTGATAATCCAATCATAAATAAGAAGATTCTTGATGTTAATGTGATCCATACATAGTAGGGGGATGCTAGATACTGTGGTGGCCTAGGAAATTGTCTGGGTGCAATGCACGTGGGATTGAAACAGAGGTAGAAGTGTCACTTACAATGCCACGTTTGGCAATTGTCTAACACAATTTTAGTTGTCTGGATTGTGTTTCTGACTGTTCATACAAAAACCAGCTGGCGATGTAGACGACATACTTCACATTTCATGGAATGTCTGATATCGTGTCAATCAAAAAATGGTGATGGTGAATTGGTCCCTCAACTATACAAATCAACTTCGGGCACAAGTTCTTTTTACACCCTCTCTCACGTAGGAATTGGTCTCACATATGGATTAAAAGACACAAACACAAACATGTAAAGACGAAAAAAGACTTAACTCTTTGGCCACCTAATGCATAGCTCTAACAAGGACGCGCCACCCAAAATAAGTGGGGGGTCCATAAGGTTCGTATATGAGTTTAGAATATGTTATTTTATCCAAGTGGGGTATGTTCTAAAATTTCTCCACACATGTAATTCCGATTCGCATGTGGAGAGGTAGACAGAAGATTAGAAACATGGGATCAGAACATAGCAAGGCACACTCATGACACAAGCAGAGGAGGTATCAACTGCTAAGTAACGAGGCTAGTCCAAAAGCTTCTTGTAGCCTAAATATGATATTTTAAAGGGTTGGACTATTCCCACCTCGAAAAATATCCATCCCTACCCCATTAAATTCATCAGAGTTAAACTTCTAAGTCCACCTAATTCTAACCATGTGCCCTAGCTGACTATTCTCACCCATATCTTCTCCCTAAAGAGTTTCTCTTTACACAAAAAGAAACCTCATAGAACCTGACATTCTCCCTGATTGGTTGATTACACTCCCGATGGGATTCTGGATAAAACCGTCAATCACCCAAATACTTACCAAATCTAGTGTAGTTTTCTGTCATGAATTGGCTTGGCTCCATGACATTATGATATTCACTAAACTGGAAATTCAAATTCAAAACTATAACTTACTAGCATTCTATTTCACTGCATGCTTACTTGGATCTGCATATTATATTATTAAGGTTATCTTAGAGTGACAAGAAAGAAGGTGCATGGCTTCGTACCATGATGAACTAAAAGAAATTAACTAGGAACGGATTCACTTGTTAGACATCAACATGTTTACGTGCAAATAATAAAAAAAAATGGTAGAAAACCCTATGAGATTTGTTTTATGATAGATGAGATAGGAAGGAAAAGCTGTTGAGGTGGGAAACGCGGTGTGTGAATAGTTTATGACTGGGATGTATAGGACTAGGAGGGTAGATATAAAATGGGGTGGGCTTAGTGAGCAATGAGGTGCAGATAGAATGGAGTGGGTTTAGTCCTTTAACATTAGAAAACTTAATGGGGGTGGGGGTGATAGTGTTGCGGTGGGAATAGGCCCACTCTGTTTTAAACCACCAATTCATCTTGTTGCCTCTCCAATTTTTGGTTACTAGTGGAGAAGTTCATAGATGCCAAGAGTATATGCATGGACAATCTAAAGCAGCGGTTCCAAAGTCGTCTCTAGTCTCTACACAAGATGCAAGTTTTAAGTTGCACATTTGTGGACTAAATCTCTTAGTGCATTAAAACAAAATCATCCGAACAAAGCTTATCCCTATGCTTCAACTGGGGTGTTGCCGATCCTTGTCATTGATACTACAAAGACAAAGGCTCCAACTAGACTTGTTATGCCAAAATTAGTCGATAAGTGGAACATAATTTCATTTTTCGAAAGATTATTGAACAAAATTTCACTGAGCAAAAGCATTGTTCTTGGAAATCAACATTACCTCGGGATAAAGAAGACATTCAAGACTATGGACAGCAAGAAGTCCAAGGAAGACACCTTTTCGCAGAATTGGAATGTCAAGTGAAACCTAACTTCACCAAAATAAGAGAACCTCAAAGGAAACAGATGTGCAGATATTAATCATATACTAAACAGTTGAGAAAACAAGTACTTTGAAGTACACAAACTTAAGCCACCTAGAACCCAACCTCTTCCAAATCAATCCACACAAGGTCTTATAGGCTTTTAGTCAAGCCAAGCCTACTCATAAGTGTGTGTAGGGTACAACACAATAGGGTTTCACTAGGCCTAGCCAAAGCCTCCTAACACCACAACAATACAATTGAAGGATTTATAGCAACGCCAAGAACCAAACCTCTTCCAAATCAATCCACACTAGGTATTATAGGGTCATCTTGAGCCAAGCACATTCCCTAGCATGTACAGGATTTGTGTGTGGTAAAACATGTATCTAAAATTCTGCAAATAAAAGCAATTCCATCTCCAATGAAAGAAGCCCACAGCTGCAATGATGTGTCCATCAAGAATGTTAGGCTTGACGGAATTTAGGGTGGCGACAGATGTATGCAATGATCATTAAAACCTTCCCCAAATGCTCTTATATGCATAATATTGGGCTCTTGACCAACTAGTTATCAATTGATATGGATGGAAATTATATGTAATGTAAGAGTTCAACGGTTAAGAAATGGCTCATATTTTTGTATTCCAGAAAACCCTAGTGGACTAGTAGATGAGGCTAGTTGACTACCCTGTTTCACTCAGCTAATGTTCAGCCAACTAGCTAATCAGACGCAAACTCTTCCTGGGGTGGATTCCTCCTTTTGCTTTTCAGCCTAAGGGGTATTAGCAGCCGTTTTCAACTTCGTTTCCGCAAGAGATGGGGGGACAGGTTCTCCCGAGTCTCCCCAAGGGGGGGCCAATCTCAATTCGAGATCGAGAGAGATCTCCTTTTCAGATTGTTAGGATAGATTCGCGCTATGAACCTGAATCGCGAAATGGAAATGCTAGAGGCGACTCGTGTGATTCAGATAGATTGTTCAGACGTTCAACTGATTTTGGGACCTAACTATACAATGCATGAGACTTTATGTAAACCTAAGTTTGACTTACTAGAGTAGTAGACTTACCCTTTTAATCGTGAAGTCTTCAGCTAGATAGATCTTCTTGGAAACTATTTACCACATAAAGCCTTCAATGCTCATATCTGCCCTTCAATTGATGCTACTACTATCTCCAATTTGAGCAAAAGCATAAGTCGTGAAATTTTCAATCCTAAGATCCTTGACCTCACACATATCCCACTACCACTCAATTTTAGCAACCTATAATTCGATAACCAACATAAAATGGAAATCTAATTGTGACCATATTAAATGCCATGCTTGTTATAGCAATTTATTTTCACTTGACTTTCAGTTTATATTCTGGATCTACATTAAGTAGTATGACATAAAATGACTATCATGATCAATGCCAACAAGCATATCACAGGCTTTTGGGTTAAGGCTAAGTCTCTAAAACAAGTGTGCCAGAACAGGCTTGTTTGATATATGGCTTTTATGGATAAGCTCCAGGCCAAAGAAAAAAGAAATAGTTTACACAGGCATAAGTCAACAGAAAGATATAGACTAACTATTCATGTGTTGCTTCAACCACAAAATTGTTTGGCTGTTGTCATAGAAAATAAAAACAACTTTGGCATGACAATGGTACTTCAGCCTCTGTCAATATATTGACTAAAAGAGTCACTTCTGTGATGAGTAAGTACCAAGGTTTTATGCCCACGCATATCAAGCAAGACTAACTTTCCAAAGTTTCACCCAAATTCTGGAAAAACTACACAAAATCTGTATTTGGTGAGTCTTAACTTCAGATATAGTCTAAATTTATTGCCCAATTCTTCACACTGCCCCTACTTTTAAAGACATACAGTTTCTCCTCAACAATTTTTAAAATCTTCCAATTGAAAATCCCCAGTTTTAAATACTAGCTATATGTACCTATCACCATCGTAAGCGAATGCAATGCTCTATGGCTTCAAAAAGTTTCTTTGATGGGCTTTCACCACAATTGCTACCGCCATTTCAATCCATCGCAAAGTGGCAGTCACATGGCCTTTACCCGCAAATAAGTAGTACTTGTCATCTTAGGAAACCTTTCATAGGCCACGATTATGTTTGCGTACATAATCCTCTGATTCTTTTGGAGCTTTTTTTCACCAAAGGTATCGTAACGACAATCTAGCCTCCATGTCTTACGAAGTTAGACAAGCCACTTGGCCACCATCCCGATCACCGCACCAAAATAAATGAATAAGCAAAGGTAGATCAGCAAAGTTTTTTTTTCACGAAACAAAATTGTTGAGTGAACAATTGATCAACCAAGCCGTACCATAACTTGTTATTAAGATATGGGGCTGAATACATTGCAAATAAAAGCAGTAAACAAATGGAGCAAAGTATTCATAAATCAAATGTGATATCCTATTAAAAATCATCTTCACTCAGTACAGACCGGCTTCACATTAAAACAAATAAGTGTACCAGTGAAGTTAAGGATCACAATTGAATCAGGGTGAACAAAAAGCAATACGACCAGCAGATAAATTTTTCAGAACTCACCTAAAATAGAGAGTTATGGCGAAAAAAGAAGGGAAAATAAACAACATGGGTAGACAGGAAAAATAAACTGTGCACTGATAACAGACTCTCTCAAAATGTTAATGCATGTATTACAGTCAACAATAGGGTACAGAAAGGCAAACTAGTAAACAAACGGGATAAATTTGTACCTAACTTTGCTCATATACTCCGTATATCTCTCTTTGAAAGTCTCTACCATCAAATCCTCTTCCAACTTCGCCTTTTGCCCATAATACATCAAGCAAACTGCAATTATAAACAATGCACTCAAAGGTGCCCGAAGTGCAGTGAAGTATGTCACAAATAGGAGCATAGTAGACGCATATATAGGATGTCTGACCCATCGATAAGGCCCAAATTGCACAACAGCAGTTGGCACCACCACCTTCTCCGAATAGTTTGCAAGATAGAGTGTGGAGTGATATTGCATGAACAGTGAAATCATGATCAAAACCCAAATGCCCACATTGCTCCAACCACCCGGAATTAAGTGCAATTCTGGTCCCTCATACGCAGCCAGCCAATGTCCAACCATAACTCCAACACAAAAAAGAAGGCGATGCCAACTTGGGAGGTTAATATCCCACTTGGGGTCATGCTCTCGAGGATAAAAATCCCCGTACAAACGTCTACGGACGCTGACATTGAAGAAGAAGAAATAGTGATACACAAATAAGAACACAAAAGGCCATCCTTCAAGGAAGCCATTGAAATGGGCAGGTGGGACTAGTGTTAACCAAGTAAAAGCTGAAGTAACAATGGCAAGCTGTTCAAATACATTGGATTCACCAATTAAGTGCTTGCGAAAACAGTAAAGACCGTACATTGCAAGACCCAACGCCACAAACCATGGCCAGAATAACCAAGTCCAGGTAAAATACATCCAGAAGAAGGGATTGAATAGTAAATTCAAAGTCCATTTTGAAGTTGCAACTGCAATTGATATCGCCAAAGACCACTTGCAAAAGTCAATTGGGGTCAATTGAGAAAGGGTTGCTTTAACTGAATCAAAAGAGAGGCTTTTGAGGTTGTTCAACAATGAGTTTTGTGATTCTGCATTGGTTGTGTCGACATATGAACATTTGATTGGTTGAAACAATGGACTTGTAATCCTTATTGGTGACGATGACGACAATGGGTGGGAATATAACGGGTTCTGAAGGGACCTTGGTGAAAGGTATTGGATATTGCAGTTGGAGGGTAGTGATGGAGAACATCTCAAAGGGGTTTTGGCGAGTTTTGGGGCTCGAGTTTTGCGAGGGACAATCACATACGACTGGCCTTGTAACTGCTTGTTGAAAGGTCTGAAAGAGATTCTGTTGTTGTTCGAGATAGTAAAACCACATGGAATTACCTTCGAGTAGAGCAATGCGGATCCTGTTTCCATGGCTGCAAGATCACAAATATCACCGAGCTTCTACAAAGAAATCTGATCAGAATGCACACAGCATGGAGCACGGAAGGAGAAGATCATGTACTCCAGAAACTTGCGAGTGTCGTATGCGGTGGAAGTACTAATTCAAGCCCGTTTGCCAAACCCAGGCAAACCCAGTTTTGGGTGGGCCCCATATTTCCATTTGATTGGCCCACGCCAAACCGTAATTTTGGTGGGAAAGAACATCTCCAATAATATTATTTAAAATAGTTAGTCAAAATATATTTAAATATTATATTATTTAGTTTAGCTAATCATTTTTTCAAATTTACTCCAACAACGCTATCTATTTTAACTAATCACTTTAACTAATTTTACCTAACTTTTAATAATAAAATTTAAAATACTATATAATATGTCATATCATGATCATATTGATGACATCACATGTTGACATGTTACACCATGTCATCAAAATTTTAAAATTTTAATTTTTAGTAATAACGGTCATATTTATGATGATAACGAAATTCAAAAATTTAAAATTTGAACTTTTCAACGATCATATTTGCAACGGTCATATTTGTAACGGTAACGACATTCAAAATTTTAAAATTTGAATTTTATAACGGTCATATTTGTAACGGTCATATTTTTGGATATGTATAAATAGGATATTTCATTTCTCATTGTCATACACCTCAAATATATTTATTGGCATTGCACTCTTCTTTGTGTTAATCTTATGACTCGTCAGCCTGCAATGAACATGATTTTTAACGATTCTGACTCCGATGATGAATTAGAGACGGTAACAATTTGTACTATTGCAATGAACAAACTCAATAGCGTGTGGTTCTATTTAAGGTCATTCAATTATTTTTTGCAATCGAGTTCAAGAGCACGAGAGACAATATCGTGATTATTTTGCTGAACTGCTTACCTATCCCCCAAATTTATTTCAAAGAAGGTTTCAAATGAATCGTGCCCTTTTCCTTCGTATTCTATCCATGATGGCAGATTATGATTCATATTTTGTCCTAAAAAAAATGTTGCTGGAATTACTGGCTTATCTTCCCTTCAAAAGATGATAGCCACCATAAGAATGCTTGCTTATGGAGTTGCAGCAGATGTTGTTGATGATTATGTGAGGATTGATGAAAGCACTACAATAGAAAGTTTGAAAAGATTTGTGAGGGCGGTAGTATCAATTTTTTTTCGATGAATACCTCAAGTCACCAAACAACGATAACATTGCTAGATTATTAGCAATAAGTACCAATTATGGATTTCCTGAGATGTTGGTAGCATTGATTGTATGCATTGAAAATGGAAGAATTGTCCAATAGCATGAAAAATGTATGTATTCTGGTCACGTTCATGAACAAACAATTATTTTGGAGGCGTTGACTTCATATGATCTCTGAATTTGACATGCCTTTTTTGAGTTATCTAGATCTCATAATAATATCAACGTACTAAAACGCTATTTTGTTTTTGCTCTTCTTTCAGAAGGTCGGGCTCCTCCAGTCAATTTCTCAGTCAACGGAAACGATTATACAATGGGGTATTACCCTTGCTGATGGAATATATCCAAAATTGGCAACATTTGTCAAAACAATTCCATCTCTAAGAGGCAAAACGACTAGGGCATGTCTTAGGTTTGTATTCGTGGAAGAACTCGCAAGCCCTTTGTCAATATGTCTTTGATTTTTTCTCATTTCCTTGCACAACATCCAAACTAATATTATTATTTATTTATTTTAACAAATCAACACTTTATTCCATATGTAAAAAAATTACACTTTTGGGGAGAAGCAGACAGGCATGCTTTTACAACTTTCAACAAATCAAAATTTTACAAAATAAAGAAAAACTATTTTTCTTTTTCAACACTTTACATTGTTGTTGATCTTGCAGCAACAAACCTTTCGCTGCAGCTGGAACATTTGAAGAGGTAGTAAAATCTGAAGAGCATCCAGTTTGAACAGCCCAACTAACAAAAAAATTAGCCAATGAATTAGCCTCACGGTATATATGCATCAGACTGAAACTCAGTCTCCCCAAAATCTCATTTATTTGCCTTAGCTTTCCCCAGTATTTTCATGCTCTTAAATGACCTTTCATTACCATATTCACCATCACTTTCGAGTCCGCTTCAATATGAACACGATACGCAGACAATCCATACCTCTCTAGAAGACTCAGCCCATCTTCCAAAGCAATAAGCTCTGCATCCATGTTTAAACAAGTTCCATAAAAAAAAGATGCTGGTACAACCAAACCTTCTCGATTTCTAACCACAGCTCCCCCTCCAACCCTTCCCGGATTACCTTTCGACGTTCCATCCCCATTTAATTTTAAGCAATCAACATCTGGCAAAGACCAACACACCCACACCGCCTTAACTCAAACATCCATACCACATTCCACTCCCAAATCTTGCAAATACCCTCTTGCCCTCCTCATGCTCAAGAATTCTAGGTTTGACACCAAAAGCCTGTAATATAAGAATAGCACAAATTCTGTGAAAAACAGAGTATTCTGATAAACAGTCTTCCCCATACACTCTACTACATCTCTCCCTCCACACTTGCCAATAAATAATCAACGCTAAACTTCTAATTAGAAAATGACTCATTGATTGTCTTTTATAAACTCTCAGTAGTCTCATCATCCTCTCCATTGGTCCTTCATTTGTCCCCAATCGAAAACCAAAAAAATCAACCAATCTTTGCCACACTTTAACAACAAATTCACATTGAATAAACACATGAAGTCTAGATTCCACTCCTTTCCAACATAACGAACATTTACTTGCAAGTTTTACACCCAATCCCTGAATCCGAACATCCACTAGAACAGCATCCGTGCATATTTTCCAACCTAACAACTTAGCACTAAGAGGAGCAACTTGTTTCCAGATTACTTTAGCAGCCACCTCCTCATCATCAGAATGTCTCATAGCTTGCCAAGCAGTTTTGACAGAAAAATCACGCGCGTTACATTACCTCCAAATCAAAATATCAAGTTTATCAGACAAACAAAAATCAGAATTCAAAATTTCTGCTTTTATCTCATCACTAACCAACATTTCCAAACTCTGTCAATCCCAACCTTCACCATCACATAATGAGGAGGTATATATCCAAAATGGCCAACATTTGTCAAAACAATTTCATCTCCAAGAGGCAAAATGACTAGGGCATGTCTTAGGTTTGTATTCGTGGAAGAACTCGCAAGCCCTTTGCCAATGTCTTTGATTTTGCTCATTTTCTTGCACAACATTCAAACTAATATTAAGTCATGCTAAGATTATCATAATGTCTTCCTCTACTATAAAATTGCCACCTCGTTTTTTGGTGGTGGATTCTACTTGAGGAGATATTGGTGAAGATTGATCTAAAACCTCATCATCTAAATTTGTTTCATCATGTATGAGATTGATGAAGTACACACCATATTAAAATGGATCCATGAGTAATGCATATAATTCACAATTCCCAAATGATATTCATGGCTAGCAATACCACCAATCAAACTATTCGTCTAAATCATCAGAATAATCCAAGAAACTACACCAAAATCCAACATCATGTGCCCTTAACACGACCAAAGTTTGTCCAATAAAAAGATCAGTTAGACACAAACACTTTGAGGAACTTATCTGTTTTTCATTTATGGGAGTGTAGACAAACAAGATGGATAAACTACTTGAACATGAGAAGTCATCCCACTAAGAAATTTTACACCAAAGCATTATAAACTAGAGTTTCTTAATCAATACAATTAGGTAGGTTCAAAACAAGAATGTATCAGCTTAAACACTACCCTCAATGCAAATCAACAACATACCAAATCAAGTCATCAATTGGAGTAGAAATCTTTCACTTTTCTCATTGATGTTCATTGGTTTTATGCATTATTCAAGTATCCATCCTCAGTGAAGCATCTCAACTTATAATTGTGTAACCAAAATAACAAAATCTGACAAACAAAATTGAACAATGTCACAGGCATACTTGATAATAATCCACCATTACTCAATACAATCAAAACATAGAAAACTAACACTCCCTTGAGTCCTATTTATGGGATATGGGAGGGGTAGATTTTCTCATATGAAAATTACAAACAAATGATCAACAATACAAAAATTACAAATTAATCCAATTAGGTAAGACCCATCAAGTAAACCAATACCACATGATTGGGTAAAATATAAACGAAAGAAAAATAGATCTGAATGTATGAAATTTTAAAACAGATTCAGAAATACACATAATATGTGTAACGATCAATAGAAATATAGAAACATAATAACATGACACAAAATCCCAAAAATGGATATCAAAAAGGGGTAAATATTGACCGGTGAAACCTTCTCGATGAAGCTGGTGGAGTCGATGGAGCCTGCGATGAAGTCAGTTAAGCCTTCTCGGTGAAGCTGAATGTCGGTGGAGCCTCAGTGATCTTTTGTGTCGTGGAGCTTCAGAGAGAGAAAGAGAGAGAAAGAGGACCAACGAGGGAAGGGCTAGCTTTATTGAGCAACTGAAAATGGGGTTATCTATTTTAGATAGGGGAATTGCTAGTCTCTTGGAGCCACATTTTTGGGAGAAGCTATCTAAAATAGTTAAGAAAGAAGTTTTAGCTAGCCTTTTGAAGATTCTCTAAGGTACCATGTCATTTTCATATCATACTTATTACATATTTTTTATTTCTTTTCCCAAAACTGTTAGAACCAAATGAAGTAGCATCCACAGTTTAAAAGTGGAGTAAAATCCTTTCTTATAAATTTTCACTCAATTTTACTAAGGGGTAGATCACTCACTATTACATAAATAATCTTGAGATGAGATAAACTAGATGATGAATTTCATATATCGCAATAGATAGTCACCGAAGAGTAGATTATTTAAAAATATACCAATTAACAAATAAGGTCACATTAAATTACTCCTTATATAATAAATCTGAATATCTGCAAATTCAGAGATCACTGTAAGTTGATT